TTTGTGTCAATAATGTGTTTACCAATGAAATCTACGGAAGACCGGAAGTTTGGTGCGTGCAATAAAAATAACGTCACGTGGATTAAGTTTCTGTCTAGTATTTAAGGCTTATTCTTCGTTGTATACGGCCCCTTGATTTAGCAAACTGTTCCTGCTGAAACACGTGTGCATCATTTTATTTATCCTTTTTATTAAGTTAAAAAAAATGAACAAGACGACGAAGTGCCCGCAGCCACCATTACCAACTTACCAACCAATGTAGGAAATCCTGTCCAATATATAAATGTAACACACACACACACAACCTGGGTTTTATAATAAGTAAGATTCACATTTTGCCTCTAGAAAACTAAAAACATTTCAGTCATTTACACTGGCCAATTTTACTTTTAAATGAAACATATTGTTTGCTTTCAGAAAATACCTAGTTTCATGGGGTTCAGATAAACTTTCCCTGATATGTTTTTCAGATAAGTCATTTTATATATATATATATATATATTACCTAAAAATATAAAAATCCATTTATTTATTTTTTCCGAAAATATCGGCTGTGACAAAATGACTTTTACTATGTTTGATTATTTTTACTGGGGATAGAATTTCTTTTATAATAGCAAATCTGAATTTACTTTAATTAGAGGGGTCTATATGGGCCCTCAAACAGCAGTGCAGCACTTGTATCTTAATTTTTTTTTAATAGTATTTATAATTTCTCCAGATACCATCAACAAACTTATGGTACAGTACTTAAAGAAAAAAAATTGTAATAGCGAAAGTTTTTTTACTTTAAATATTACAAGATACTACTTAAGTAGGTCCGCTTAAAAAAAAATGTTATGTCCATTCTGTCGTTCCGTATGAGAACTCGAATCTCACGTCAGCTATCAATAATTTATAGATGTCATCACACAGCACTCTGTCAACGGACGGCGACGTCGAGATCGGCTCTTTTATCTTAAAAAACATTTTTCTACGAAGAAAGTAAATAAAAGTTTCTTTCAAAATATTTTAAATAAACTTCAAATTTTCTAAATTTCTTCGAATAAATTTTGAAATACGTATAATTAATTTTTAAACGAATTTTAAACGAAGAATTTAAGTTAGTTTTTAAATTTTAAAAAATATGGCTGATATCGAGCTTTTGGTCGTTATTTTGTAAACAAGATTTTTAACTAAAATTTCGGACATGCTAAGAATGAGTAAAAAAATTCAAAAATTACTCAAGAAATACTTTAGTGTTTCTTTTCAATAATGAAATATACATTTGTCAAGAAAAAAAAATGTTTTTCGTTATTTTTCAGACCGTTCTTGTCATGCTATCGATTTTCATCATTTTAATGAAGATACCTGCAATAACGATGATCAGAGAAATGCACAGAACCTTTTAACATTCTAGTGTAGGAAACGACAGGTAGTTACCATACCACCGAGCCTTAAGCTCCATAGTTAGGACTATTCCAAAAAACGTAATAGGGTTAATAATTGAAGAATAATATTCGGGATGATCAGATCTTAGGTAAAAGGAAAGGGAATCGCTGTCTCCTGGACTGGTCTTACAAGTCATTGACAAAAAATGGTCGTCATGTAAGTCAATCCAATAGGTTACAGAAAAAAGGGGGCACTTCGAAACGGCGTAATGGTTAGCAAATTTGTCTCGCTAGAACAATTATGACTGAGTAGTGAGTTCGATCCTCACTGGGTACCCCTTACTTTCAGCCTTGTGTCACATCTATGCTACGCCTGGAAAATCACTACAGAAAAGAAGGAGGTTTGAGTGCACGATGAATATTAATGACGATTTTCAAAGTCATATCCAAGGCATTTTTCTCTTTGAATCAGACTGTTGAACAATTTTCCTATCCCCCTTTCACTCGTATGACGATATTCTAAGCGTAGCTTACATGGGGCACAAGGCAGAATATATAGGTCACCCACAAAGGATCGAACTCTCTTTTCAGTTGTAATTGATTCAGCGAGAACAATCTTGCTAACCATTACCCTACATCGAAGTTTCCCCTCCTTCCACTCGCATGGGGCTTTTCTGTACTCAGCTTTGATTTTCTAGAGAAAGGCAGATAGATAAAAGATCAAGAGATACAAAGGTTTTAAATTGCTTTTATTTAACCACCATAGAGAAATGTTCCTGACCTCTATCAGCATGCTTGGTGATCGTCTCCGTGAGAGCGCCTCACTGCGTCTTTCTGGCCTTACGTTTTCAACTGACTTGAAATGGAACATATACATTGAATCAATAGCTGCATCTACTGCAAGGAATGTTGGTTCACTATGACCTGCAGAAGTTGTTTTTTTTTTTCATCAGAGTCTATCTTACACATCTACAAATCTACCATTCGTCCTTGAATTGAATACTGTTGACATAGCTGGCCTGGTGCCCCTGCTTGTTCATCTCGAGGTTCAAGAAGGATCTCTAATGCAATCGGTCCTGGATTGGCTTCTCGACTCCAGACACTTTCTCACCAACGTAATGTGCCTTCCCTCTGTCTTTTCTACAAATATTTTCATGGCTACTGCCCTGACGATCTTTTTTCCCCTGGTGACCTGACTACATGAATTTAAGCGTGCTACTAGATTGGCATATAGGTCCCACCTATTTAATGTTGAAATAGTTAAATGTAATCACCAATTCTATTTTAAGAGTTTCTTCTCTCGTACTTACCGACAATGGAACTCCTCGCTTCCCTGATAAATAAAATCTTTAAAAATTTAAATGCAACGTCAATCGCCATCTTCTGTTGCCTTCATCCCTTACTTTCTTTTCCTCAATCCCTCTACACCCACTCTTTTCTCTCATTTTCACTCTCCATAACCATATGCATGCTAGTGGCACTCCTGCCTTGCTTGCGATGAAATGCAAAAAAAAAGATGTATATATTTCTATTTATGTAGTGTTTATTTCAAGATACAAGCGATTGTTTCTTTTTTTTTAAATAATGCTATATCATCGATGGTTTCGAAAAACCACCCAAAAATTTTATGAAGGCTCTGTGGACAGTTTAAGCATCAATTTGTATCTATTTTCTTCCTTTTTTGCCTAAGATAATTTTAGCAGAATTTAGCACCAGCTGTGAGCATTTGAAATCAGGAAGAAACAGATTATTATTAGTTAATGTAAAACTTAATGACAGCATATTTGCATTATGATTTTATTATAGAAATGTATTTGAAGTCAGTAACAAACGGATTGTTAATGAAAGCAGTTTTGTAATAATCTATTGCTTCAGGCCGTAGGCATTTATATCTCAACGCAGATCTTTCATGATCATTTCTTAATTGCTATTGAGGAGGGTAGAGTAATGGATAGTGGCTTAGATTGATGGAATCAGTAGAGCTGTGTTTGAATTCAAATACCGTGGGGAATGAAAAACGGAAAAAAATCAGCTGAATCAAAGAAACCACACTCTGAGAACGCCTCCTCAGCCCGATAACTCCAAGTAATCTCTTGCCTCTTAGTGGCATTGTCGCATTCCTTGTGGTGAAATGACTAAAGAAAATAATTAAACAAATCTTATTAGTTAAATTCTTAATTGATTAAAACAGTTTTTTATTTTTTGTGTTAAACGAATTCGAATCTAATAATACGACATTTTTCGCTTCAATAATATTTGAGGAGGACATAGACTGGACATTTTCATCGTCGCTTGTGGGAATAAGATCAACACTGATATCTCGGAATATTTTAACATCATCACCTTCTTGTATCGGAATACATCGTTATTCCCATAAAGTTCTATTAAAAGACGATGTTAATGTCCAGTCTGTGTATCCGTCAAATATCATTGAAGCGAAAAATGACTTCTGCGTCTCTTCTTCTCCGGCCATGGGTAAACAGAACAGACTGTTTGCCAACCAGGTCTAAGAGAAGGACAATTTTCGATTAAATAGCCTCCCCAACCCGCAGTTGACCAAGAGTGGTGAGTACAGCTACACCCTTGGTCAGACAAAGATGGGTTCCTCAAAGGAGTGAGAAGGCCCTGTATCCGTTTGAATTCCTAGTACCTTACCTTACTGGTGGCTCTATTAGAATGATTTCTTGTTGCCTTCTCAATAATTTACAATCCAGAGTTGTCCTTCTCCGAACCAGTCTACAATGTAAGTCTAGAGAGTCTTGTCTAGATTGCCATTTAGCCCATAAATATTGATGGAAGAGATCGATTCATGCCTTTCACGAATGTATTTTTGAGAAAGTGAACGCAATCGACTAGGCCGGGATTTGAACTCGGCTCGGTTATCCGCGAATAGATATTATCCGTACAGTTCAACTCCTTTCAGAAGAACCAGGAAATATATTCAATGTCTTATCCGACCCAATGTTCATGGAGGAATGGCTGCAGAGAAAGATATTTTGGATAACGCACCTACTGCCAACACTACGTTCTGAGATGCTTCAAAAGTATTTAATATTTCAATAGTCACTCAGTTCATAGCTGGTCTCTGCGAGTTCATTTATTATACGTAGACAGACTAATGACACCGTGTTGATAAGGTTTTGGTCAAAGTCAAAAGGAAATGTCATGTGCTGTTGATGAGGTCAGAAATGTCCATCTTCTGTACAGGTGTTTAAGTAACTACACTTGAATCTAATTTCCAATTAACATTCCAATACTCTACTGAAATGCTCCGGCATCAATTTTAGGATTGGTAAAGTTTATTAGAATTTAGGGGAAAATATCGATTGATTAAATTCCACGAAGAGCACGAGTTAATCAAATATATATCGAGATCGATATCTCGTGACGTAAATCCCGTTTTTTTATCTCTTTTTTATTATTATTCTTTAATATTTCTTTCTTTCATTCTCTACTCATTTTATTCTTTTCTTTCTTTGTCCATTATTTGTTCCAGTTTTGTCTTTTTCTTTCTTTTCCATTATTTCTTTCTTTCTTTCTTTCTTTCTTTTTTTTATATTTGATTATTTCCTTCTTTCTTTAATAATTCTTTCTTACTTATTTTAATATTTCTTTCTTTCCTTGTCCATCATGTCTCTACTTTGCTTTTTCTTCATTGTACATCATTTCTTTCATTGTTCTTTCTTTCTTTTTCTATACTTTCTTTCCTTTATTGTTTCTTTTGCTTTTCTTTCTTCAATATTTCTTTTTTCTTTCTTTCTTTTTTCTATATTTTCTTTCTTCTATTTTTTCCATCAATATTTCTTTCTTTCTTTTTTCTATACTTTCCTTTATTGTTTCTTTCTTTTATCTTTCTTCAATATTTCTTTCTTTCCCTCTGTCTTTCTTTCTTTTTCTATACTTTCTTTCTTTTATTGTTTCTATCTTTCTTTTTCTATACTTTCTTTTATTGTTTCTTTTTCTTTCTTCAATTTTTCTTTCTTTCTTTTTCTATACTTTCTTTTTTTCTTTCTTTCTTTCTTTCATTCTTTCTTTTATCTTTCTTCAATATTTCTTTCTTTCCCTCTGTCTTTCTTTCTTTTTCTATACTTTCTTTCTTTCTTTCATTCTTTCTTTATTTCTTTCTTCAATATTCTTTTTCTTTCCACTTTCAATGCGCCTTTTAATTTTTCATTCTTTATTTGTTTCATTTTTTCTTTATTTCGTCCGCCTCTAGTTCTTTTTTCAATACAATTATTCGCTCTCTTTCTCTCTCTCTCTCTCTCTCTCTCTCTTTCTCTCTCTCTCTTTCTCTCTCTTCTCACCCTTCTTTTCAACGTAATTTTTCTACTCATACTCTGTCCCTTCCTCTTTTATTTGTCACTATTTCTTCTTCTCTTCCGTTTTATTTCGGATTTCACTCTTCGAGTTCTTTCTCACTTCCACCCTCCACAATTGTAATCACCCTCTCTCATTCATTAATTTTTAATTTCGTCGCTCTTGTTCACTTTTCTTGTTCTCAAGCAAACACTCTTTCCTCTCTCTTTCTCACGAGCTACTTAATCAACGATTTTCTTTCTTTCTTTCTTTTTCTTTCGTTGTTTTTCTTTCTTTATTTCTTTCTTTTTAATCCACTCTCATTTCTCTTTCAATTTCCCCCCTCTCTCTCTCTCTCTCTCTCTAGGTAGGTAGAGAGAGAGAGAGGGGGGGAATTGAAAGAGAAATGAGAGTGGGATTAAAAAGAAAGAAATGAACGAAAAACTATCTATCTATCTATCTCTCGTTCTGGGTATGACAGTAAACTACACCAAGCAGAAAGGCCTCTGTGAGGTTTTGAGGAGAGTGGAACCATTGCTGTTGTTCCCAGGTCCACCCTGGTCCGGGGTGGTAGCACCTGTTAGGGTCCCAGCTATGGACAAATAGTTAATCCCCAATGTGGGGTCAAAACAGTATAAAAGTGTAAAAACATGTTTTTATATTATAAAAAAAATACCAGCAATACATTTTTTTTTAATTATTACCAGAGATACATTCGTCTCTCGCCAAGAAAAACCTTCTTTTTAAAAATACGTCAACGAAATCTGATTTACAAAAAGATTCCTTACAAAGAATACATGTTCTATTCATACGAACCTCTCCTAAAAATCTTGTCAGCATTACATAACTCACTGACGTTGATATGCCGTCAAGCAAAATAAATCAAACCAACCTCTCTCTCTCTCTCTCTCTCTCTCTCTCTCTCTCTTTTTATTTCTTTTATTTTGTTATCTCAAGTGCAACTCATATAAACAATTCATGGCCACAAACTGGAAAAATGGCTGGCTCAGTATACCGTTCCGGTAAGTACCTGACTCCAGCTGCTATCTTTACAAGTCAGATCCGACTAAAAACGGAGTATTACTGTCGAATGTTTTATGTATGACAACGTCCTATCTGAACATTACCAGTTTCTTTACCATCAGATAATCGAACCTGTCACTAAAATGTAGATGCCATTAACAATATATAGCCTTTTGTCGTAAAACACGAAAATCAATCAAAATATTTGCATGGCTTCCTTTTTACGAGTTGATATTTGTTATTAAAAAAACGTGGGACAATGGGTACTCACTCATTGTTAATTACCATTTGTCTTTACCAGGGAATTAAAAATTTCCAGACACGCTTAAATTAAAAAATAGTTATTTTGTTAATAATGTATTTGTCAAATTCTGAGGATTCGAAATGGATAAATTTCAAATGGATAAATAATGTTAAACTATTGGGTAGAGGAAGTCGAAGATTTCTAAAGTCAAAACTCCAAGTGAAGGATGATTTTTTAAAAAAAAAAGTAAATAAATTTTGTCCAATTTATCTGTAAGTCGCCATTACTTATAATTTTTTTTTTTTAATACAGCGCGTTGCCTGCTCGTGAATACAGCGGTTTCAATAATTTAATAAAATATCCATAATCGGACGGAAAATATATTCAGTTATGAAACACATAAAATAAAACAGAATAAAGACTGGGAGAATTTAACATTTTATATTTTCTAGATCCTTTTTTAAGTTAAGGTGTTTTTCACTTGTATTATTATATATTTGAGGCAATTTCTGAGACTAGAATGTTGTTTTATTTTTTTATAAAATTTATTATTTGTTATATATTTATTATATATCAAGTTTGATATATAACCTATTACGAGTTGTATATATATATGTGTGTGTGTATAAAACCTATTACTGATTAAATATATATATATATATATATATATATATATATATATATATATTTACGACCAAACAAGCATAAATAGATCCAATAAAATAAACTTTTGTTTATATATATATATATATATATATATATATACACACACAGAGTTTATATATATATATATATATATATATATACATATTTATATATATATATATATATATATATATATATCTATATATATATACACAGAGTTTTTATATATATATATATATATATATATATATATATATATATATATATAATATTTTATTTCGATTAACATTTCTTCGACCTTTTCTGCTTTTTCTACCTTTATAGGATACAAGATCTTTTCCCGTCGAAGGACACATATTTTCTATGATTTTTTTTCGGATACGCAGACCGGTAAATGTAGTTAATAATGTTTATTATATACAAAGCATTTACTTAAATATTTTTATCTATAAAAATAACATATAAACAGAAAATATATTTAAATAATTGTCGGGATTAATCTATTTCATAATATATGATGTCATTTGTTTAAGTTAACATACTCTTCGATCAGAAATGAGCGTTTGACCCTAATCATGGGAAATTTGTAGTTTAAAAACAGTAATTCGACCTTGCTAACCAAACGATTCATCAGTAGCTAAATGGCATAGCATGTGGTATATGACTGCTCCGTGTAGTACACATGTTCGATTCCCGTTGGTGGACATATATTTTCTATGAAATCTCTCGGACATTCAGGCCGGTAAATGTTGTTAAACTGCTTATTATAAACAAAGTTTTTTCTTAGATATTTGTATTTATAAAAATAACGTATAAACAGAAAATATATTAAAATAATTTTCAGTCATTTCATAATATATATATATATATATATAAAGAGAGAGAGAGAGAGAGAGAGAGAGAGAGAGAGTTTATGCAAAACTAGGTAATCCGCATGGATAGACCCAAGGAGGATGATATCCGGAGAGCTCAATGTAAAATTCAGAGTAGATATGTTTGAATAAATAGACTATTTTGTTCTATATATTGTTATTTCACCACAACCCATTTAACTGGGCTCTGGATCATCAGGTTGAATTGAATTTCCAACCTTTGGAAGTAAAGTCTGATGATCCAGCCCTGTTAAAGGGATTGTGGTGAAATAACTTATTACATGGAACCTTAAAGTGGTCTGTCTTTATTCAATATATATAATGTCGAATCACCAGTTCTCTTCTAATATCCGAAGTTAAACAACACTGAGCCTGATCAGTATCTAGATAGGTGACCGATTGGGGTCACCAGTTGCTGTGATCTTGGATATATGAGCGTAATGCATGACGGTTCGAAAGTGGAATTCCAGTAGGTTCATTATATTCACTTACGTATAATTATCCTTGGGAAAGTTACGAATCCACCTCGTCACCCCCCCCACCCGGATATGCGTTAAATAAAAGAACTTGCATCAGAAAATTAGTATGCTCTCCCCAAAAATTTTAGTCCAGAAATGTTTCGGCCTTAAATAAGCTTAAAAAGCTTGATAGAACGTAAAAAAAAAAAATCCTATGTTCCAGGATGTGTAGATGGTGTAATGCTTAGAAAGAGAAATATTTTCATACGTTTGTTCTTGTTCATGATGACGGTCGTCTTTGAGTATAGAATCCAGAGGTTAGCAGTGAATATTTCGAAGACAGTAGGAAAGCGTTGTTCAGGTTAGCAGTGGATATCACGGTAAAGTAGCAGAGCGTAGTTCTTTCTTCTGTTCCTCTTCGCCTGACAAGCTGGCACTGGACATTAGGCTAGAGTAGACAAAATGGCCGCCTTTATACACGACAGATTGAATGTTCTACGTCTTCTGATTGGTTAACCTTCTATTGGTGAACTATAAAGTGAGAAGTCATCTGAGCTAACTCCCTAGTAGATAGATATACGCAAAAAACTGCAACAGTTCTTACTGCAATAACTACGTTTTCCAAGAAAAGTGTGTAAAATCTTTTTGCTTAGCATCGCAGATAAAAAGATAGAAATTCGTGTCTCTTTTTCTTTTCAAATCTACCAGTCTGTCTTTCTTTTTATCTTTCATATTCAATGTCTATTCGAATTGTTCATATTAATGCCGGGCTGTCATTCCCTTCATGCCTCGGGTAGTCATGCCTCTCCACCGTTTCCTATCCTTCGTAGCACTTCACAACATTTCTTCTCTTGCTATTTTTCCTGTCCCTGACCTGCCATGCATTTACATAAAATCGTTATTCAGTCTTTCAAACTGATTTCCGTAAACCCTGTGAGTGTTTAATTCTCCAAGCACGTCTTCCTTATTATGTCTCCCAAATATTTCGATTGTCTCTTTCTGATTGTAAGTATAAATATCATTTTCGTCTGTATTTTTTTTCATTAAAATACTATATGCCCATTTACATTATTTACATTTTTGGGACTCTTGTCCCCATCTTTATTGTCATGTTAACGACGTTTCAGCCGTTGTACGTTCCGGCCTTCTTCAGGTGATTGGAATTTCAAACTGAACCCCCTTATTTTGTCCACCGGAGAAGGCTGAATAGGGCCGAAGCGTATAACGGTCGAAACGCCGTGATCATGACAATAAAGATGAAGACAACAGTTCAAACCATGTAAATAATGTAAATAATTACAATACCTCATCTCAGAAATATAAACAGACTCCATGTTATTCTGAGCAACTTGCTATAGAATCAAATCTCCGTATCTTCATGTCTCTTCTTCAACTATGAGGAAATTGTCCTGTTATATAGCAGCTTAATAAATCATATTAGACTATCTGGTTCTCTTATTGTATAAGCTACATTATACCGAGAATACGCATCCTTGTCGCCGGTCATTTCTCTATTTTTATATACTTGATCAACTCGTTTACCTTGGGTTTTTGTTTTCGCTAAATGTTACTGATTATATATATACATATATTATAAGATATTTATTCAGTTTTGCTTAGTTTAGTCTGGCAGCAGGCTAAAAATATGAGCTTCTCAGTGAATAACAAACCCATCAAGAAGCGGACAGCATCAAGCTATCTTTAGTTCAAGCTTAAATTCTCTGCAAAGTAGGATCAATGTTCGCAAGAAACCAAATATCGCTACTCATCTTTTCTAACCAATCAGAGATTAAATAAAATAATTTAACCAATCAGAGTTAAGATATTACTGTCTAATCCTCAATTACCTATAAGTTTTCTCTGTAACTCAATTTCGTCAGATAAATATTAGAAGAGGTTCAGTTTCATTTTCCGATGATTTTTATAAACTTTTTTTCAATTTACATTATATTTCTTTCAACCAACTTATACATATTAACGCATTTTCAATTATTCTAAACTTCTGTTAAAACAAATGTCATATTTTCTAGCAACGTTCTTGTAGCTGATTTAGTGTGAATTTCTCTCCTTATACAGTGTTACTTCATTCTGATATTGTTAAACAGTTTCTATCTGGTAGGCTAAACAGCTCGTTCATAAGATTTGTTTTGGTGCTGTTAGAACCACCGCAAGGTAATTTTACGTAGTCCTGTGAAGTTTTGTTGAAATCGGTTGAAAAATGTAGGAAATCCGATCCAATATATAAACCTACAGACACACAAACACACACACACACACAATCTGCGTTTTATAATAAGTAAGATGACGTAGACGATCGTTTTTCTTTAGATTCCGTTTGTTTAATCCTAAGAACTGTCACGACTTCTTGGAAAAGATGCTTTCACGCCGATTTCTCCTTGATTCGAAAATCAATTGCAGTCCTTCTCCTGACTGAAACCCATGGCTACACAACCCACTCTACTCTGCTATTTAACATAGAGCTAGGTGAGAGAAGAAGGAGATTTGTGTGAAAGTGAATGCATTATGATTTTGACAACAGAAGGTAAACTTGGTCAATATCTCTAGATGTAGTGGTCTAAACATGCATGAATTTTTTTCGTTAGAGGGAATCATAACTTTTAAGACAGATACAGTTGGTTGTAACTGAGTAGTTAATATCGTTATTACTTTGACGAGTTATGAAGAAAGGAGTCATCAGACGCCTTTTATTGATCATTCATCCTTACACACGCAATGAAACGCCGTATTATTTTCGCCATCCAACCACGAACTGATGCATGAGGCAATTGTATTGATTACAGGCTTTGTATATAGGAAAGAAATGAAATATTAGGCACGATTGAGAGAGAGAGAGAGAGAATGTAAAAAATCATGTTTAGTAATAAAATAAAGAAAAATTCTTCTTCATATATATATATATATATATATATATATATATATATATATATATATATAAAAAAAATTTATATATACTGAGCGATATTGTCAATGAAGGAACTCGTGCGCTTAACAATAAAAAACGATAGGTTCTTGTTCATGACCAAATTATTTGCTTTTAGACGTTGTTTTCTTACTTTAAGGAGAGACAATAATCGCTGTAAAAGTATCTGATTCAACGATCGTCCGCCTTAATTTCTCACCAACCGAACCAATATTAACGGAAATATTCACCATCATTGTCTTCTTATTTTCCTTCCTTGTCTTATTTGTACTCACGTTGGTAGTAAATGATCTTTTCTCATTGGAGAACAAGTGACAGCAGGTCTCATCAATACGATTTTACCTTCCTTAATTATCTGTTTAGTATTTTATTCTTCTTCTATGTGCTATGTCTCGTCAAAAAGTAGGCGATCATGGCTCTCCGCAACTTCCTATACCTTCCTCCCAGTTTGTTCTGTGATTCATTTCTACAAGCTTCTTAGCTAGGTTACTCCAAGCTCAAATTCTCCAAGCCTTCTTTCCTCATTATAAGTTCTAGAGATTTCAGCTGTCTCTTTCTGATTCAGAGTACAAACATCCTTTTTGTTGCAGTTTTCCTCAAAAAACAGATTTCGGCAGCTTCAAGTCCCTTCTTCATTTCTGGAGAAATTGTACAGCATTCATTGCCATATAGGAGGACTGATAGTACATGAAGGTCAGCTGCTATTTTCCGTGTTTCTAACGAAATTATAATTAATAATTATAATATTACTATAATTAATATCATATGTTTATAAAATTATAAGAATTATCATAAAACTATATAAAATGTATAAACCTGTATAATTACTACCTGATTTTTGGGGTCCTGGGTATGATGATACACTACACCTGCGTCCTGGTTGCTGGTGTTCCCAGATCCACCCTGAGATGGGGTGGTAGCCCCTCTTAGGATCCCAGCTATGGGCAAATAGCTACCCCCCCCCAAATGGCGTCAAAACATTATGAAATAATATTTTTACCAGCAATACATTATTACCAGCAATACATTTTTTGAAGAAAAAAATATTACCAGAATTAAAAAATCTTGTTGGCTTTAAATATGGTTGTGGTTGATATGCCGTAAAACAAAACAAAACAAACCAGCACTGAATTTTTGTATATATATATATATATATATATATATATATATATATATATATGTTTATAAATATGATTCCTTCCTTTACATAAGAGTTCTCTTGTTTCAAAAACGAGAGCCGAAAATTTCGCTTGAAGATGAAACGAGACTAAACACCTCAATTCAACTTAATTTTAATAATTATTTGATGATTAAAAATAAAAAACAAAATACTAAGGAACTCCGGATGATGCACCCAACGTATTCTTTTCTATTTTCTGCATATTTCTTAACTTATACTTATATATATATATATATATATATATATATATATATATATATATATATATATATATATATATATATATCTGTTATTCAATCTATTCACTGTGCAAGCATCCTTTTTGTTGCAGTTTTCCTTAAAACTTCCTCGTTACTCAAATGTTCAGTCAATGGGATTCTCAGCATTACTCTAAAAAAAAAAACAGATTTCTATTGCTTCAAGTCTCTTCTTCATTTCTGGAGAAATTGTGCAGCTTTCAGTGCCATACAGGAGGACGGACATTACATAAAATTTAAGTACTCTTTTCTCTGTTTCTAACGAAATTTTTCTGTTTCCTAACACTTCGATTAGCTTTTGGCAGTCGTATTTTGGAATTCCAATGTGGCTTTGAATTTTGGTTTCAGAATTTCCGCACTCTGTTAAAACATGTTCTGTTTTCAGTGTCATGTAGCTGTTTTAATAATCGGTGGAGTAACAGATAGCGGCTCGGAAAAAATTTACCTCGTCAGATATGTATCGAAAGATACATGATCGTCTAAGCGTGTATCACCCTTGGCACATAACTGACCGATACATCAGATGGTTTGGAAACTAATCCAAATTCTTTTCCGGGCTTTTGGAAGAATGTTTCGGAATTGTTAAAATCATATTTCATGCCATATACATTCAGAAGGTAGACAAGTCTAGGTTATCTACAGATTTATCTTCTTTATTCTTTGTAAATTACCAGGGCCTTTTGAGAAAGAAAATGGATTGATTTCCACCTGTTCTTGTCTTGTCAATGGTTTTGAATTCAGAGCGGTTGGCACCCAAGGCGAGAGAGCTACCATTAATGAACGCACTTCCAAAAAAGGAAGAAACACTGCGTCAGTCAAGAAGTGAAGGAAAAGGGGGATAAAGCTTGAAGAATGATGAAACAAAAAAAGAAACAATCATACAAACAAAAACAAATAATGAAAGAAAGACAGAAACATCTTAAGCACCAGACCGACAAGACAATATATAACGCCTCCTTCAGTTTCACTTCTTTAAAGCAATACTAGCTGTCAATTATCTGGACTCCATATGTTAATCACTCTTCCCAACAGTTAACGACAAGACATCTTCAATTTTTTTTAACATTTGGCACCTTTCTTTGAGTCCTTGTTGATGCCAATATAACCTTTCGGTCAATCGATTTGTCAGCCTTCTTCAGGCAAAATGCATCTAGAAAAAGGTATGCATTAATATATCAACCTTATATTTCCTGTGTACCAGCGTAGCCGAAATGGAAACGACCATCCATACACACTCGAGCACCGAAAAGATCCCCCACGCTCCCGACCGGCAAAGGGATTTTATGTCCACCAAGGAAAGTTTATTCCATCATCTATTAAAGATGTTCGGAGCTGAACACGTCATTTTTAGTAGACACAAGCGTTTGAGTAAAAAAAAATAACGT